CTCCGTTCCCCCCCCCCCCCGTGCCCCGGCCCTGCTGCCTCCAGAGCCCCGAGATTAGGAGAGCTGCTGAATCTGCTGGCTGCTGTTTTCTCATTCTTTTTCTTTTGCTACACAGAAAACAGAAAAAGGAGGGGCATGGGGGTCATACAGGAGCAAAAGGGAAGTTTAAAACAAAATAATAAAAGAAAAGAAGAAATGGAGGGGGGGGAAGGGCAAATGGAGCAGAGGGAGAGCTCTAGAGGCTGTAACAGTCCAGCCGGTGAGCGACAGGAGCTGCGCGCTAACTTAGCTCTATTTAAATACTGGTTGAAGCAGAGTGAATGAATCAGCCGGAAGACTGGCATCACTCAGTCTCAGTCTCAAAGTATCAGTTGCTCCGAGCAAGAATGGAAATTCAGGTGAGAAGAGATGTGTCAAAGCAGGAAACACTAACAAATGGCTTGGAAAGCAAAGGAAAGCTGGAGAAAAAGTCAGGGACAACAATCCAACACATTTATACACACAAACGCATGATAAATCAAACTCGGCACACGGTGAACACACATCATATACAGATTTGTGGGAGAAATACTGTACATGTAACAGCAAGAAGAAATACCGGAAGTTATAAACCCAGAGGTGTTATCTACTGACCATGCAGTGGAGCCATTCAACTCAGACATACAGAGAATGAAGAATGAACCATCATTCAGGCGCACGTGAACCTCTGAAGGTCCATCAGCTCCTTCTTATGACGAACAGGGTCCGACATGAACACACAACTACCTGACAAAACATTGGTCTGAAGTGGGCTCAGTGGGAAAAATGTGATGTCACACACTTCTAACGACCAATCAGGATTCAGCAACATTTGCATTAAAATATTAATAGAGTTGTTGTATAAATACACGGGTACTTTTAAAAAATGTAGCTGTGCTGTTACAGTAGTACCTGTTTTAGTTTTGGGATTTAATGGCATAATTTCAGCGTGCCACAGCATTTATGAATGAATAAATATGTCATAATCAAAGTTGCTGATTTTACAGGAGCTGTGGATTTGAGATTTTAGTCTTTACCACCTCTCTGTGTTGTATTTGTATATTCTAGGTCCATCAAAGTTGAAGGCGATGTCACTTTAACAAGCATAAACAGTAACAAAGTTCAGTGTTTCATTTTCGATAAGGTTCAGAACTGTGACACCATGAAATTAACTGCTGTTAACAAATGAGACCTGGGTAGTTCTACTGAGCCTCCGCCTCATACCAGTGGTGCTATTATTTAGCACAGCGAAACCACGTCGCCTGTTAACTGTGTTGTTCCCTGTTGTCTTGAAACACTGGTAGAGGCTCCTCACAAATGGTTTCATCTGGTAACAGTAATTACAGTAATATATGAAACCATTTTGGTCATAATCTTTTTTAAAACCTCCAGACTGACTGTCCTGACCGACCAGCACCGATGGATATGAAATGAGATGGAGTGGCTCTCATCTTTGTTGTGTGGTAAAGTAAAGCGACAGGCTCACAGGGTGCCCCTGTGTGTGGCGTGCTACAGGACGTCAGGGCCTACCTTGATGAGCGGGTTGATGACTCCTACATTAGGGCTGGCGTTGAACACTTTGTTGAAGTTGGTCTCCCTGTTGACAAGCTCCAGCTGGTAGAACTTCTTATCATCCTGGAGGAGAAAACCACGTTAGCTGACAGCCAGTGAGGCCGTGGAAGCCTGGATAATCGGCCTTCTGTCAACTTTTCTCCTCACTGTTGCTGCAGACTCATGACCCAGAAACCTTGATAGCAACAGCACTACACCGCCACACATTCTGGCTGATTTATAGTCAAAGGAAAGGCAGCGGTCTCATGTTAATGTCAGCTGTGTCTGAGACAAAGCCCAGTAATAATCACAGTTAATGAGGTGAAGCATGCTGGATCCCAAAAGGTCCAAACAACAGGAAGTAAAGTCATACATGATGATGTAAAATGGTGAAACAGTCTGCTCCTAATCCATCTAAAAGCTCAAAACTACTGACGACTGTATACAGCTAACACTTTAGGCATTGCCTTATCAGCAGTACTTACCACCAGTTTCTTCACTAGAGTCTCCCTCTCAGACACCATGTCCTTCAGCTCAGCGATGTGCTGCAGATCTTCCGGACGACTCTCCCTGTTTCTGAACTTCTCCTCCGTTCCTTCCAGCCTGTTTGAGGACACCAAAAAATACAAAAACATAAATATTCTTCAAAAAGTATCCACTGAACACCATCCAAGCCTAGCCGTATTTGTGTGAGCGGTTTGATCAGTGTCAAGTATCAAACATCAGAAAGAACCAGGAGTAAACTTACTAGATCTTTGTCGTACTTATGAACTAACTGGAAGCATTTATGAGTTTAGAGAATTAAATGCCTGCACTTCAAGGAGTAAAAAGATAAATGATTCAGAGGCTTTCTTTTGTCATTAGCTTTTGATCAATGGAGCAGTAATTGTTCCCAGTATCTTCCCTTCTCTCTCCTCTTCTCATCACAAAACCCATTTAGGGTTTTACTCTGACATCAACGCACAGGTCCTCTGGAGGTCGTTTTGGTTCCATGAGTTATGAGAACGTTCAAAAACGTTCTAATGGATTTTTGTTATTTCTGGACTGGCCTTCAGAGAAATCACCACCGGTGTAAAACTCATTTAATTTCACATCCGGTGACATTTTCTCTAATGCAGCACATGCTAAAGAACACTGAGCAGAATGGGCATTGGCTGAGTGAAATATTCTTCAAGTGAAAACATCAAACCGATCCCCAGTGAGACGGTTAACTGGAAAGTGACACTTCTTTTGGAAATTGTGATAAAACTGCCATTTGGCAACAGTAGCACTCAGTTTACAGCCGTCATGCATCTGGAGCTGTTCTCCAAGTCCGAGTCTTCTCCCTTAAACAAATGGTTTTTTCCCCAAATGCATTCACACATCTCTTATATAGAATTACAACATGACATCCTTAAAAATGCAAAAATACTAATCTCACAAGAACAATGTTACAAGTTTCGTTTTGTTGGCTATGGAGATGAGGCCTCCTCTGCACATATGAGCAGATCTTGTTGATTAAACGACGGCTCTCTGCTCGTTCAGCTGTGAGCCTGCTGGTGGTTTTACCGGTACCTTATGTGACAGTGAGCTAAACAGCCTTTCACCTCCCACGCTACCACTGTACAAACCACTGAGCGGTACCTTTGTGACATTTATCCGACAGTGTGAAGTCACACGTTGTTAAAGGCCGAGTACCAGAGCAGCAACCGTGGGCTCTCCGGGGGCTGTCTGCTGTACAGAAGCAGCCACCGCGGCCGATGGCACAGCGATACCGACACGCACTGACCTGCACTTTCATCAGATATGCCGTCAACTGCTGTGCTGGTCCTTCTGTGCACTTCTGACAGCAGATCATGTTTGTCAGACATTTTCTGCAGCTCAAGCATCAGAATCTCATCGGCTGATCTGGCAGTTCTGTGTTTGGCAAAAAACTGTTTTACAGTAAGGAGAAAGAAAAATGGTAGCTTAAGTTATGAGTACCGTGTTTTACTCTCAGCTTCCACCTAGAAAAATCTAATGCTGTCTTATCCAACTGTCCTGCAAGAAATCCTCCTTAATGATAATATAGTTGTAGAGAGTTACTGATCCAAAAGTAACACACATTATACAGGTGTATTATGACCTGGTACAGTTGACACAGCAAACATGTTGGCTCACAGCTGTCTCTTTATGATGCAGACATCGGAGTAATTCACATTCACCCGCTTTTTTTTTTAATTAGCTACAGTTGGAAATGTGCTAAGACTGAACCAAAACTGTAAAGCTGTGGGCTGAAAACCAAAACACTGAGCTGAAAGACACCAAAATGCTCCACAGAGCAGAGAGAGGTTCTGTGCTGCTTCAGAATTACTAGCAGCCCCTTTTCTACTACATGTAACCTTCAGTACACTGTTAATATGAAAAATGAGCTAGCTTAGGTTTAGCTACTCATTACTAGCTGCTGGGAGCTCATGATCGGATCCAAATACTCAGAGGTTGTTTTTTTCTGCCTGAACATATTGTTCTGCTGGTTGAACCCGCTGTTGAGGTTCCTCTGGGCAGGAGCACGCTGAGGCCAAATGGTTAGTATCCTGCATCAGCAACCCTTCACTGAGCAGAAGGCTCCTCTGTCACACTCAGCTGGAGCATCAGCGACACATGGCTGGCAAGGGGGTCCGGTGCCACCCCTGGCATTTATCACAGTTTTGGTTTGGTACAGATCACATGGCCTGAATATTTCCAGGGCTTCGATAATGTAAGGCTATCGCTCGGCTTGTACGCACGCCGTCAAACTGATGTTCTTCAACACAACCTGCAGGGGAAGAAATCTACCCACTGCACAGTGAAGCCGATAAGAGACACTGGACAAACACTGCTGCTCCAGGTGTTAGTGGTGAAGCTACAACAACATGCTGTCTGGAAGTTGTTCAATTCTGGTGAAGGCGGTGTTTGTGATAAAATGATGACTTGGAGTCTCACTGCTGGGCTCCAAGGTGTTGGAATCTAATCTAACTAAAAAGTGACAGTGACTGATGGTCAAGAGGAAGTGCTGTGTTAGTGCTTCTGTGTTATCTCCGCTGTGCTTCTCCCTCACAGCTGCTGTTGCAGTTTGCTTTGATTCTTGCTTGGAGCCCTGAGAGTCGTGTTTAATCTTGCAGATGTTTCACTCGTTACCTGCAGTTTAATATACTTGAAAACAGCAGTTTATGTGTTGACTGTAATTATGCTTCAGGTATCTATATGCAGGGTTTT